TCTAGAGGAATTTTGAGTAAAATAAAGATTGCCCCTTTGTACGAAAGGAATTGGGTATGTTGACCTATAGTTTACTTGTTGTTTATTAATTTTGTATTTTAACTAAAATACCTTTAACAATTAGTAGGCATGGCAAGAAAGCCACGTCAATTAAAGATAAGAGCTGAAAGCATATAAGCTCAAAGCTTACTTTATTATACTCATATAAACGTAATAAAACATTACGAATTAGGCTTTGGCTGTACGGATTTTGATGTTTTCAGGCATAAAGTACTAATCATATTTTTTACTAAGATATACAACTATCTTTTTCTTTTGTTCGCCTGGTTAGCATAAAAGTAATGTTACCGTTTTGTAATCGGTATAAGTAAGCGCGATACTTACACTAGGCTAAGACCCAGTGGTCAAGTTGGTTAAGACATAATACTTTCACTGTTAAAACGAGAGTTCGAATCTCTTCTGGGTTGGTTTTAACCACACGCAGACACACGCGGGTTGGTGTAATAGTTAACATTTTTGGCTCATGACCAGAAGATTGAGGTGCAAATCCTCAGCCCGCTCTTTCAACATTTAGAGAAAGTAGCTCAGCGGTAGAGCAATCGTCTTACACACGAACGGTCAGGTGTTCAAATCACTTTTTTCTCAACATATTTTTATTTAACTTTTATATTATGCCTATTTTTTTTTACCCTTTTTTAATACTATATAGGTGGATATAGTTTAAGGGTAAAACAACTATTTGTGGCATAGTTTATCCTTGTTCAAATCAAGGTATCCTCCCTTTATTAATAAAATTGCCTTTATAGCTCAATGGTAGAGCAATATACTGTTAATATATCCGCTAGATGTTCGAGTCATCTTGAAGGCGTACAAGAAAAATTTACACATTTAATAAAGGTTATAGCTTAATCGGTAAAGCCAACTGCTCATGACAGTTAAGATGAGTGTTCGAGTCATTCTGGCCTTAAGGTATACCTATAGGTATACCTTATTACATACATTTAAGTTTATAATTATATTTTTTACATTTTAGTCAAACAAAATTTCCCTTTACTTACATTTTGTCCCATAAAAACTAAATTTTTAGAGATAAAGATTTACAAATTTCCCTCAGTTTTTACTTCAAATAAAAGATAAATAAATATAAAATGACAAGTTTAACATTTTTTTTTTTGTTCATACCAATATTAGCTTTAATATTATTAGGTTTGAATATTTTACTTTCACCGCATAACCCTTATCAAGAAAAAAATAGTGCATTTGAATGTGGATTTCATTCATTTTTGGGTCAAAATAGAACACAATTTAGTATATCATTTTTCATATTTGCACTTTTATTTTTATTATTTGATCTAGAAATATTACTAGTATATCCCTACATAGTAAGTGCTTATACTAATGGTATTTACGGTTTAATAATAATGTTAGTATTTTTCTTTATATTAACTTTAGGTTTTGTGTTTGAATTAGGAAAAAATGCATTAAAAATAGATAGTAGACAGGGAAATAATATTCAACTAAAAAATTGAAAACAAATAATATATATTAATAAATAATTAAATTAAAAAAGAAAAAGAAATATATTTTTAAGGAAAAAGGTAGTTGAGGTTTAAAAGAGTACTCTTTTAAAAATACACCATAATCCTAGACACCTTAAAAAAAAGAGGATATAATCCTAGACACCTTAAAAAAAAGAGGATATAACCCTAGACACCTTAACTCTAGAAATATTGGCCTAAAAAAAATTAGAAAAAAAAAAATAAATGAGAATATTAAAAAGTCATCCACTTTTAAAGATAGTTAATTCATATACAATAGATTCACCACAACCATCGAATATAAGCTATTTATGAAATTTTGGATCATTATTGGCGTTTTGTTTGGTAATACAAATAGTAACTGGAGTTACATTAGGTATGCATTATACACCTAATGTTTTAGAGGCATTTGATTCAGTAGAACATATAATGAGAGATGTAAATAACGGATGATTAATACGTTACTTACACTCAAATACAGCTTCAGCTTTTTTCTTTTTAGTTTATCTACATATAGGTAGAGGTTTATATTATGGTTCTTATAAAGCACCAAGAACACTAGTATGAACTATAGGAACTGTATTATTTATTGCTATGATGGCTACAGCATTTCTGGGTTATGTTTTACCCTATGGTCAAATGTCTTTATGAGGTGCAACAGTTATTACTAATTTAATGAGTGCAATACCTTGAGTAGGTCAAGATATAGTTGAATTCATATGAGGAGGTTTTAGTGTAAATAATGCAACTTTAAACAGATTTTTTGCATTACATTTTGTATTACCTTTTGTTTTAGCTGCATTAGCATTAATGCATTTAATTGCATTACACGATTCTAGTGGATCAGGAAATCCTCTAGGTGTTTCTGGTAATTACGATAGATTACCTTTCTGACCTTATTTTATATTTAAAGATTTAATAACAATCTTCTTATTTATAATAGTGTTATCTATCTTTGTATTTTTCATGCCTAATGTTTTAGGGGACAGTGAAAATTATGTAATGGCTAATCCTATGCAAACACCACCTGCTATTGTACCAGAATGATATCTTTTACCATTTTATGCTATATTAAGATCTATACCAAATAAATTATTAGGTGTTATAGCTATGTTTTCTGCTATATTAGCATTATTAATAATGCCATTTTCAGATTTATCAAAATTAAGAGGTATCCAATTCAGACCTTTAAGTAAAATAGCATTTTTTATTTTTGTGGCAAATTTTTTAATATTAATGCAATTAGGTGCAAAACACGTTGAATCACCATTCATAGAATTTGGACAAATTTCTACGGTTTTATATTTTGCACATTTTTTAGTAATAGTACCATTTGTAACATTATTAGAAAATAGTTTAATTGATTTAGCTACATCAACCGGCAGATTAAATGCGAGGAACTAAAAATCTAAACCCCCATAAACTTAAAAGTTTAAATGTGGCTAAATTTTAAAAAGCTTTTTCTACTAGTAAACCTCATTTTGCAGATCCTATTACAGGATCTGCATTAGTTCTTTTTCCAGCTACTGCTCAAGCTGCTGTAATTTTTCCTATTTATGTTGCAATAGTAGGAACAGCTTTTGTTTTTTCATTGTGATGAGATTTAACACCTACAGTACTTACAAATCCTCCGGCGCTTCCGGATATCCCGTATTTTCTAGAGGATACTGGGAGACCAGAGGGTACAGGGACACCAATCGCTGCACAACCAGGTATTTACTATTAATAGTAAATTTAACTGTTATTAATCGTAGCCTTGAATATTTATTTGATTTGTATCTAAATGATCATTTATGAAATCATCAAATAGAAGATATGCTTCCATTTTTAGAGTATCTTTTTAAGTTTCATGAATCATATTTCGTAGTTTTAACACATTTTGTTAGTCAATTTGGTATAGAAAATAGCCCTTTACTTGGTCAATTTGAAACATTACATGAAGAATGAAGAGACACAGGTAATAGTCTTTTACAGATTTATAGACTTCTTGAACGTAGACTAAATATTAATTCTGCAAATAGTAGAATACCCGAACAATGATTTGAACATGCTGACATTGATTAATAAGTATTTTAATCAAAATTTTTCATATTGATTATAATTTTTATTATATTTTAGTCAAACAAAATTTCCCTTTACTTACATTTTGTCCCATAAAAACTAAATTTTTAGAGATAAAAATTTACAAATTTCCTTCGGGTTTTACTTCAAATAAAAGATAAATAGATATAAAATGAATAACAAAAAAAAATACATTGGAAACGATCCAAACCCTACAAACGCTGATCCAGTAGCAAAACAAGTAGCACAAAATTATATTGATAAATATAAAGAACAAAAAAACCAACATGAAGAGCCTTTAAACCAGCTTTCAAAAGGTAATATTTGTTCAGAAGAAAAAAAAAATCTTGATATGCATAATGATTCAATTTCACGAAATTTACAGGGGCAAGCTATAGAAATACATGGACACAAAAAAACAGAAACAATTATGGCTAAATTTGAAAACACAGACGGTAGTTTAGCTAATGAAGTTGTAACTTCTGCCGATACACCTTCAAGTGAACAGGATCGTGATGAATATTATGATGATTTTGATTTTTTATCAGGAGGACGTGATGAATCTTTTCTTCCTAATCAAAATAATACTAGTCAAGCTATATCTAATCAAGAAAATACTACAATAGATACTGCTGTAACTGATAATGACGTTGCAACTGAAGCTGTTACAACTGAAGCTATACAAGAAGATAACAGTACAAACATAGATAATAATAATAATGAAGAAAATAGCCTATCCAATAATTCAAGTTCTGTTCTGGATAAACGTTCTAAAAAAAATGACGATGACGATAATGACGGTAAAGGTTCTGGACCCACAGCAACTGGTGAATCAAGCAGTAATGATGTAACTGGCCTTGGTGACTCTACTCAGCGTTCTAATTTTATAACTTTATTAGAAAATGTATCATTTATTTTAATTAATATTATATCATCAATAATAGATAGTTTAAATGAAATACTTACATTAATGTAAAAAACATTTTATGTTTTTTCCTCAATAGGTGAGGTTTAATCCGTATGCTGGAATTGGTAGACAGGACGAGCTTAAGTTTCGTTGAAATTAATCATAAACGTTCAAGTCGTTTTTCGGATAAAAGGGGGTATAGTTTAATTGGTAAAACAGCGAGTTTGCAATTCGTCATTTTAGGTTCAAGTCCTAATATCTCCAGCCTATCAGGCAAAATTAATAAATTATAAAAAAAGATACTATAACCCATATGTAATAAAAAAATTTAATATACTGAAAAAAAAATAAAATATAAACTAAATTTTATATAAGATGCTAAATAACCCGGAGGAGTAATAGAAAAAATCTAGCTCAAGATTCGGCAGTCGGGACTGAGAGGTCGATCGACCACATTGGGTCTAAAAAACCTAGGGCATAATTGTACAGCAGTGGGGGATATTATACCCTTAATTATGTACGTAGTATATTACCTAAATTACAAATTGTTCTTTAAAAAAGCTCGAGAAGCTCAATTGGTTGAGCGGAACACTGAAGATGTTTAGGCTATAAGTTCAAGTCTTATGTCGAGCATAAATAACAGTGCTGAAATTTGGTAACCAGGTTCCACTTAGGATGGAATAGTAAAAGCTTTATGAGTTCGAGTCTCATTTGTTATAAAAACTAAAAAAAAATGTACTTTAATTAGTATTCACATATCATTTTGATATGTGAATATGCCAAAACTTATTACATCTAACCTATGTAATCGACTAATCTATATGTAAAATTTTTGCATATCTAACATATCTCATCGACTAATGGGTAAGTCCTAAATTTTTGATATTTATAATTCTTTGTTCGAATCAAAGTGAGATAGAAGGTAGAGTATCTTTTTTTATATACCTAATTTAGGTGTATTTCACCTAAATCAGTTTTAATTAGTGAAATAATTAAAACTTTAATATAGAATGAGTTATATAATAAATAATACATAAAAAATAAATGTAGAAAGTAAAATTATTAGGTATATAATAAGTAATATAATATAAAATTATATAAAAAATAACAACTAAAACAAAATAAAATAGAAATGTCTA